TACGTCCGCCATTGCGTCACTGCCGCGCGACGGAGAGACGCGTCGCGCGGCGGTGCGTACTGTTCTTTCGTCTGTACGTTCGCCGCGCGAGTGAGACGCGTCGCTCGGCGGTGCGACTCTCTCTCGCTCGCCGTCACCCTGCGTTCGTTCTCCACTGCCAACCGAGAGAGAGAGACGCGTCGCGCGGCGGTGCGTACTCGCCTTTACGATCGTGCCCGAGGTGAGGTGTGAAGGTCTCCACGATTACCCGTTGCGCGGCGGTGCGTACTCGCCTTTACGATCGTGCCCGAGGTGAGGTGTGGAGGTCTCCACAATTACCAAAAATGTATTAAGATAGGATATTTATATTAATTTCATTACTTTACATATTATTGCAACAATTCTAGCGAGTTCTTCCCTTTGAAAAGATCAAAATAATATTACATGGGTCCAAAAGTTAGTAGAATACTTCCTGAAATGTTTTAAAATCATTTATGGGGCTACATTTATGTCCCATAATGTTCATAACTTATTACATATTTGTTCAGATGTGCAGAAATATGGATCTCTCGACGAATTCAGTAGTTTTAGATTCGAAAATTATATGTCGAATATAAAGAAAATACTTAGAAAAAATGAGAAACCTTTTCAGCAATTATCCAGGCGATATGCTGAAATCAATAATTCTAACTTGTCGATTAAAAAACGGGAAAATATATCCATGGAATTATATTTGAAAAGCTTTACTCGGATGGACCTATAATTAGCCGTTATAACTTTCGTTCTTAGTACAAAGTATTACGCAGTAAAACTTACATGATCAATTCAAAAAGTTCAAGTATTAATTGTGTTTTATTAAAAAACGGGATGTAGTAGTAGTTTTAAATTTTATTGAATTACATGACAGTAAAAAATATATAATTGGTAGAAAACTGAAAATACTCGAAAATTTATACGCAGATCTTATATATCCCTGTGCATCGGAACAATTAGGTGTGCAAGCTATGCGCGAAGACATGGCTATATGCCTTTAGCCGTGTAATGAAATATGTAGCAAAATGTGGAAAATACCGTATGAAGCCAATAAGTTCGTTGTTTTCCCAATCTTACATAGTTATTAGCGGAACTATAATATGATATGATATTATACATATGATTTTTTAAACATTACTATTACATTAGGTTAGATTAGATTAGATTGGATTAGATTGAGTTAAAAATATCAACGTACAGAATACGCGTTTCTTTTCTGGTTTACTTTTCCAGGTGGTTATCATGTTATCGTGTTTATCGTGTTGTGTATCGGTGGTTATCGTGTTTATAGAGTTGCTAAATATCGATCGAATGCAAAAATATAGTGTTCTGCACAACGTCCGCAATTAAGCTTCGGGATACTATTTGTTCGGGATAATATTTTGGGATAATGGCACAATTTTCTGTTGTGCAATTTAAAGATGGACTTGATTTAGTTCCGAGCTCATGGCTAATTAGTGACACCGAATGTTTTTGGCCACCCTACAATGGCGATAAATTAATCAGAAAAGCCATTTCTAACTGCGAGGAAATTGATTGTAAAAATTGGACCATCTGCAAAATACTCCGCATTTTTACAACAGCAAGTGAGTAAGCTTATTTTATTTTTATTGAACAATTATTTGAAATATACGCTATTCCAGCGTCAAGAATTTCTATTCAATTTCTATGCAATGTCTGAATAAATGAGTAGTAAATTCTACAAATTATGTATAAATTATTTTAAAAAATTATGAATTAATTTTAATATTGTGTTGAAATATAATTTAAACTATTAAATTACAAGCTAATTATGTTAACATTAAATTATTCTAATCACGTTTGCACATAAATGTTTGTATATACTTTACATTTAAATGTTATTTAGACATATAAAATTATGAATTTTAATTAATTAATATTTTTATATTAATATATATACATTGTATATTCAGCGGTGAGTGATTTATTATTATTATTTAATATTATTTCTTTAATATATACTTCAGATTCTTATGAGAGCGATATGAAAAAAGTAAAGTTGGTAGAAGAGATGTCTGAGCTAGACTCCTCTGATATGGGGAATTAAAAATGAAATCGCCGAAACAGGGCAAAAAAAATCGTGGACTCATCAGATGATGAAGAATTGTCTTCGACACTACCTCGTCCACCAAAAAAACTAATTTCATCAACGCTATCTTCACAGCCTTCGACATCATCAATTGATTCCTACCAGAAGAAACTGCAAACTACAAAAGTAGTATCCAAGCAGAAAAACGCAATGAAACAACACTGATATCGAAAGAAAATTGTAATTATGTGGAGAAGGCTTCGTTCTTACCTTCATTTAACAATAAAAAAATCTTTCCTGATGTCTGTACTAAAGAATCTGTGCAGGAACCAAATTTGACAATAGCTGTTGATGCGGGTATGTAAAAAATACGATCACTAACTACACGAAAACATTTTTATATTTGATCATGTTGATTGAATTTGATTTTGTATTAATATAATTAATGATTATTAATATTTTAGAATTTCAGAAAGAAATATTTCGTCGGTTTAATAAACTGGAATTGAAAATGGATCGAATTGATGGGAGATTGCAGATTTTTGAATAAAAGATAGACAAGGGCATAACCGAAAAAAAACGATTATATAAAGATTGAAGATCTTGTTTCTTTGCCATTACAAACGGTGGATAACATGTCAAAATTGGAATGTCTGGAATCGGATCTTCAGGACGCCAATTTCCTTAACAATATAGTAATAAGCTTATAAATCAATAGATACAATAGATATTCTCCTACTTCAATTCTTTTTGAATTTGCTGTAAACACAAATATTCGTTAAATAACACTTCTTCAGTTTTGTTCTCCACCTTATTGCGATATACTTTATATCACTTTCTTCTTTAAATATAATAAATAATGTAAATATTATTTTTAACTTTTATTTCAGATTATTTTTATGAAACAGATGGGTGGAAAAAATAATCATGACATAGCTGTTACGATTCTGAAAAATTTTATCAGCAATCATCTTTCGACGCAGTACTGCTGGAATGGGAAAGATTCCAAAAAGGCAGCATTTAAAAATCTACTATTCACTAAATGTCTAAAACGTAAGTCAACATTATAATATTAATGTCATAACATGTTTAGCATACCTTCTTTAATGTGGTTCAAATAATTATTTTATTATACTGCATATATTTGATACGTAAATATATCTAATGATAAAATTTAATTTTTAATTGTTAATTTTTAATGTGGTTCAAATAATTATTTTATTATACTGCATATATTTGATACGTAAATATATCTAATGATAAAATATAATTTTTAAGAAGATGATAATATCGATCGAATTAAATAAAAAACTGATCTATATAATAATATAGATCAATGTTAATAATAGTGTTTAAACGCGCCGAATTAAGTGCTTACGCTGAAAACTCTTATGTGAAAAGGCGTCGCGCTTTCAATTCTCGTATGGCTC